AATTAGATTTTAATAGAGTTTCATGTCACCTAAACACTAAATTGAAGAGTAACATTAAAAATGCAACAGTTTGCTTTAATGATGAATGAGCTAACTCTAAATCATTTCAGTTCAAATAAATGAATTGATTATGTAATTTTTTCCAGTCAACCCGAAATATCTAAATTAAATATTTAAATCAGCCAGAAAACCAAACTCATTTGTTGATCTCGCCTTGTAGATTACTAATTAGCTCATGACGTGGAGTAACAAGTACTACTTCTAATATAAACTCCACTGAGGTCACCATGCACCTCTGCTAAGTGTCATTCTTTAGACAGGTGGTTCTCTACCTTTAGCTTTCATCAGAATCACCTGAGGGCTTGTTAAAGCACATTACAGGGACCCCATGTCCAGAGTTTCTGGTTCAATGAGTTTGGTGTAGGGCTGAAAATACTGGGTTTCCAACAAGTTTCCTGATTGCTGCTACATCTGCTACTGGAGAACTCTGAGACCCACTGCTTCATATGAATGAATGCTCTAGAAACTTCTCCAGCATGGCAAGTCCAAGGGCTTTTAAAAGGTTTAATTATTATCCTCTAGCACAATATATCTTACTAAGGCATGTAAATAATGTGATAAACTGCACTTGCTGTTCCAGGTATTATTTTTGCTCGTCTGCAGCAAAACCCCACCATAATATGACAGGAAGGGCCAGAAAAATGTGAACAATTAAATGTGGCTTCGCATTTATGCAAAATAATAGGAAAAACCTGCACACCTGACTGGCTGGAAGGTCCTGGGTCTGGCCATACAAAAAAAAAAAAAAAAAAAAAAAAAAAAAAAAAAAAAGCTACTGTACTACCTACTGTTTGGGCCTGGCGCCACCTGGTGGTGATTTTTTGCTCTATCATTCTATAAATTGGTAATTCTAGGTAACCGCGACTGTTAGGGAAGCTGGAAACCACAGTGGAACTGTCAAGAGAAAAGAAGAAATGAATTTGGCAAAGTATTCCCTACCTCCTGCATTTTTATATTGTACAAATAAACTACCTTTATTCTTCTCTGGTACAAAGATTTAAACAACACTTTTCTTCAGGCAGTACTTTTAGATTTATATTTTAGAACAGAATATAATGCAAATAATTTGTAAAAAGTATGGTGGGGTGTGTGCTGTTGCGTGTTCCCTCTCCGCGACCTTTGGGAAACGGAAAGGGAGCTGCGGTCTCACTTCCACCAGCTTCCTCACGACCGCTTGGAGAGACACATCTTCTCAACACCGAGAGACCTGAGGATGAAATATTCTACTCAGGCCCAAGCAGTCTAAAGACAAAGGTGGTGACCCTTGCTGCCCTGTTGATGGCAAAGCAAAAGACACTTTGCTTCATCACTGACAAGGCGATAGTTTGTATTTTCTGAGGGTCCTGTGGGAAAAAGTAACATCTCTAACAAGTGCCCGGGTGAGGCTGGCACTGCTGAGGCTGATCAGGGACCACACTTTGGAGACTTGAAGAGGATCTTCTCAGGAACAACCTTCTCTAGAGGTGTAACCATGGTAACGATATACTCCCAGTAACGGGAGCATAAGTCACATATGATTTGCTAAAGCAGAACATGGGAGCAGAAATGCTATGGAAAATTTCACAGATTATCACTTGATTATCACGAAATCTTTTGTGAACTACTCCTGAATTTCAGCATCACAAATATTAAATGAAGGCACTCTTATGACAGCGTTATTAAAATAAGATTTCTATCCTTATCTTCTCCATTTCTCATTCTTAGAAGGCTTGCAAAACTTATTGAAATTTTGTAAACAAACCTGAAAAGACAATATGAAGGGAAAGGTTTATAAAATACATTGATTTCTGCCAGCACCATTAACTGAATAGTGTATGCAGTAATGCAGTTGTTAGGAAGAGGGCGCTGTGGCATTACATTTACTTGTGTGTTGTCTAGCGAGCTTCTAAATGGTTTCTCTAAGGATTTATAAAGTAGACAAGATGTTGATGGTCCCCTTACACTTCACTTCTCCTTAGCATGTTACTGAGATTCAGAAGTGACGACTTCAGAGCTTCTATTGTCTGGAACTAGATGGATCTTTACGAATGACTTGGTCTATTCTTGTCAGCTCCACTGATGTTTTTATATTTGAGGCTCCTTACTTTTGAATGATGTGCTCCAGCCATTTAATCAAATTGCTTCAAAGATATAAGAAGTCCCAATTTTAAGAGTATTTTAAGTCAATTTTTATAACTGAGGGATGATTTGATGTGAATATTTTGTTGCTGCAAGGATTCTCTCCACTTGGAACACAGAAATTTTAAAAATGTGCAGCTGTTTTTCCACGCCATCTTCCCCTTTTATTCATCCATATTAAATACTGAAATAATTCAAGGAATATTTATTAAATTGCAAAGTGCTATTGCCAAATAATATTCTATGATTATATGTTATTCAGATTAATATTACAGTAAACCAATGGCAAAAGACAATTTTAAAAAAATCAATCTTGCACAGATATGATATGAAATTTTGATAAAACTCAAAGTAACACTAAAGTCTTCTCAGCTCAAGATTGATTAATTCAAAATAGAGTTGAGATTGAAGTATTTGTTTATTCCTTAACCACATTAGTACTATTTCCCCATTGTTATACTTGGAATAATAGATTAAATATAGTTTGATTTTTAAAAAGTATAAGATAAAGTGTGAATTTTTAATTTACTCTATCAAACTCCCACTAGGAAAATTGTGTGATGACTGGCCAGAAGGAGGAGAGGAAGGGGTGGTATTTGTAAATAAATTTTTTTTTTCTCTAAAATTTTTTAAATGCTGTCTAAAGCATCAAGGTCAGACTTCAAGTATTATTCTGTCTTACAAATGAAATTATAGGCCCTTACTCCTAGACTGGAAGAGAAGGTAGGGAAGTATCTATTTAATTCTTTTACCAGTAATTGCATTTGACAGGAAGTGGCAGAGACCTGGGACATAATGGCTTCATCAGGGAGACAACAGGATGTCCAAAGGCAAGCGGTTGCTGATTGGGCAAGCGGTTGCTGATTGGGCTGGCAAGCGGTTGCTGATTGGGCTGGCAAGCGGTTGCTGATTGGGCTGGCAAGCTGTTGCTGATTGGGCAAGCAGTCGCTGATTGGGCTGGCCGCTGATTGGGCAAGCGGTTGCTGATTGGGCTGTGAAATCTCCAGTTGTCAGGACTTTTCCTCAAGGGTGCAAGATGACTGTTGACACTCTCCCACTTAATTATGAATTCCAGGTAGCCAAGAACAGAAAATGAAGGAAAGGATCAAAGGACAATACCTACATTAAAAAGGCAAAAACTTAATATCCCACTAGATAGCGGCTCACCGCTCATTGCTGGAAAATAATCAATGTCCACCTGCAGCGAGGAAGGTTGGAAAGGTAGCTTTAAGCTGGGCACAATGTCAGCCCTAATGGGATTAGTTTGTTAACAAAAGAAGAGAAGAACAGTTATTCTCTTCCCCACCTCTCTGTCATAGCCTCTGTGAAAATCTGCTCCTCATGAAGATGAGGCAGTGAGGCCCAGAGAGACTACGTGATTTTATCCATGTCTCAAAGCTGGTGGCAGAGGCAGGACGTTATGTACCACAACGTACAGCATCTTGTTTTTGAGTTGTGCCTTGAATTCTACACATGTGATGGTCAGGTGGGGAAGGAATGGGGCCTTGTGAAGTTCTAAAGATTTTGCTTTAGTGAGGGCATAATAATGTAAAGAATCCTAGATTATTAAAAGCTTGGCATGTCAGTTCACTTCTAATAAAATCACTGTAATTTTTTAGGGAAGGAGTGCAAAGAAAAGTAAAAACACAATTCCTAACATCATAATGAAGTGATACTGTAGATACAAAGGCATTAAAATATATTTTGAGAGGCTATTTATTCAAAATAAATATGGGATATATTCCCTTATGTGAAACAAACTTCAATAAAACTGTGACCTTCTTCCTCTCCCCGACTGAGGGAGCAGCCCTCAACTTTCTCCGAGTGTGATGAAAGCTGAGGTCGAAATGCAGTCGCCACAGAAGTTATAACCCTTATGGCAGCAGCAAGTCAACGTGGCTCTAAAAGAGGCCGCAGCAGAATTGCTTGTATTGCCCAAATGATAAAATTTGTTTTCCTAGAATGGTTCTGAAGAGAAAATGTTTACTTCCTCTTGCCAATATCATTCAGCCCTTCAAATACTTGTTAAATGTATACATTCAAGAATGTAACACTACGTCCAGTTGCATGATAATCCAAGAAGACAGTGTTGCCTGTTACTACTTACAACCTAGTACCATAAAAAGTGATAGGTAGAATTCTGAAAAGAAATTTAATTGCTCAATATTAAAGCTATCTCATTCATATGACAGATGAGGAAACTACAGACTTGTGAAACAGAAATTACTTGATTTAATTCATTTGGAAAATAGAAAATTATTTTTGTTTACATTTTAATATATATTTAAGTTAGGCTGGGCACAGTGGCTCAAGCCTATAATCCCAGCACTTTGGGAGGACAAGGTGAGTGGCTCGCTTAAGCCCTGGAGTTTGAGATTAGCCTGTGCAACATGGTAAGACCCCAAATCTACAAATACATACAAAAATTAGATGGTCATGGTGGTACATATCTATAGTCCCAGCTACTCTTGGGGCTGAGGCAGGAGGTTCTCTTGAGCCTGGCAGGCAGACGTTGCAGTAACCTGAGTTTGTGCCACTGCACTTCAGCCTGGGCGACAGAGTGAGACCCTGTCTCAAAAAAAATACACACACACATATCACACACACATATATACATATATATTTAAGTTACATATTTAACTCTCTAGGTTATAATTTCATCTCTCTCCAAACATGAGGACTTATTCGAATATGATAGTGTCATCTGAAATTGCAGATATTTACTGCTTTTCTTCCATTCACAATCTATGTCTGGGAAATAAAAGGGGAGCAAAATGCCCTAGTTTGCAATTCAGTTTTGTATCATTTGTTTCTGATTGCAGTGGGAGAAACTACAGATGACCACGAGTGAAAGGAGGAAAATATTCTGCTCTGTCACATTCCATGTAATCGCGATCACCTGTGTGGTTTGGTCTTTGTATGTATTAATAGATCGGACAGCGGAGGAAATCAAGCAAGGCAATGACAATGGTAAGAGCACATCTTTCTTCTTTCTTACTCTCTTGGATTCTAAAGACAATACTCAGAGGTGTATAGGGAAGTCATTTCCCCTGGTTAGGCCTTCATCATGTATGATATACTAGAAAAACTAGTATTTGCTATTGATTCTTCCCTAATCATGTTATTGATTAGTACTCTGATTAAAAATTGTTAACTAACATGGAGTCTCGAGCTGAGATCTGAAATTCACCAAATCCATATAAAACTTAGCAGCAAGTTACATACAGACGGCAAACAGCACTTCAGGCTTTTTGGGCGCTGAATATGGATCAGGTTCTGCCTGAAGGGAAAAGGCAAATGGCTGTAAAAATGAAGAGTTTCTCATTTCATTTAATTCACTCTAGTCATCTCGCCTTTAAAGCATGAAGGACAGGGCATTCTAGTAGAGAATATGTTCTAGCTTTCAGGTAGTACTATATAGTTTGATAGAGTGGGTTATCACCATGGTTTGACATTTTAGCCATGCGAAGTTTGATTGTGAAGGATGACGTCAAGTCTGCAATGAAGTTTTTCAAAGTTAGTAAGTCGTATTCTCACATTAAAATGGATAGCCCACTTAAAACAGAAACAAAAAGAGAAAGCACAATGTCTATAAAAGATTATTTCCATGTGTGAAAGGACCCAGTTCTGTTTCTCATCGGGCTCCATAAGTTTTCACGCATTATCCAGCCTAAATCATAGGTGGCAAAACAGTGAGAAACATCCGCACACCTCTGCAGGAAACAGTATTAAACCACTGACGCCTCTAGGAAAGACATTGTTCGGATGGTAACACTTTGAGATTGTTATGTTGTGAAAAATGTTTGCACATCCCTCACCCAGCGAGGAAATGGAAGAAAATAAAAGAACAAAAAGATGAGAGGAAGTAAGAAAAAAGAAATAAGGAAGCGATTAAAACACAGAAATTGGGTTACTTCTGTCTTTCTGTGTGTGGATTCATAAACACGGAAGGGGAGGACGCGCCATTCTCACACTCGCCCTCTAGGTGGCAGCAGCGCATGCCAGTGTGCACCGCCCTGAGCGTTTCGAAAAGCCGAATGCGGCCGCGGGGATAGAAGAGACGGCCAGGACCCACGATGGGAACTGTGAATGGGGTTTATGTGTCTCAGTGAGGGGATAGTGACAGCGTTTCAGGTGCCACTGTCCTTTTCTGGACGAAAATGAAAGCACTACCATGTCAAGTCTAAATGTTAGAAAAACAGGTAGGGTGGGGTTTTGGGGGGGGGTTGTTTTGATGTGTTAATTTATTCCATATTAACTCATTTACATACCATTAATATCAAGCTACATTGTTTACAACTACATTATATACTGTTTCAGAGATTCTTGATTTTTAGATGTCATATTACATCCTTATTAAATAAGTTCCTGAGGGTAGAGCTTTGTTTTACTTTTTTAAATCCCATGTCCTCGCTTGATATAGGTACTGGCCCAAGCCAAGTAATGAATAGTGTGCTGTAAATACTGCAGTCACACATGAATGGAAAAACAAAGGCATCCCCACCTCGCTTCACCCAATGTCTTACCCTAGAACTCTAGTGCTTTCCTAGCAATCAGGGGAAGACATGATACCCTTAGATTAGATGACACAGAGGTCCTGTTTATAAATAATGCTTAACTCTCAGGTTCCTGGTGGGGAAATGCTCTTGGATTTCCCGAGTCCATGTCTCCTGATCCAACTCCAATAGAGTACAGGATTAGGAAGATGTACAGGATTTGTGTGTGTGTGTGTGTGTGTGTAAAAGATTTATAAATTTTACTTTTTAATTAATTTTTGCCTTTTCATTCAAGTTTTTAAAATAATGTTACTTTTAACTTGAACATCCCAGTCTCCCTCTCTGCCTTGCTAAAAATAATCTTGCCCAGAGTCAAACTCCCAAAGTGAGCTGTGAAGTCCATCTGCTTTTCTTTGTCTAAAGTGTTTTCACTTGCTCTTACAAACTGTGGACTGATATTTGTGGTTCTGGTGGCACTAGACTTTAAGGCTGCTGCATTTTGATTCCTTTAACTCTAACTTGTGAACACTTCAATATCATATTGAAGGGCAAGACTATACAAACTATCTCAAGCCTTTCCTGGAAAGCCTGCTAGCATGCTGATGGTTTTGGAATGACCTGGAGGATCCTGCAGCCTCCAAGTACCAGATCGCATATATGCAACTGTAAAAAGGAGGCCTGGAAGAATTTACTTTAATAATCATATTAAATCAACAAAAATACCGAGACTGTTGGAGAAGTTACTGCTCATCCTTGTGGGGTTAGCATAATATGGAATGAGAATGAATCGACTAAAGTTATTATGAGAGACTCGAGTAGCTTTCTTTTTCTCAGAAAATGGTGGTAGAGAGAATGCCTGCTCTTCTAATTGCTGTCCAAGAATTTCCAAGAAATATTTCCCCTTAAGCTTGAGCGGTAAAGACGGGCAGAGAGTTTATTACTCAACTTACAGAAACTCCTGTAGAAGGATTCCAGACATAAAGACAGCAATAGAGATGGGTTCTTGGGCCTCAGAGAAATGAACAGATGATTGAATTGCCTGAAGTTAGACTTCCAAATTCCTCTGCAACATTGGCAAGTAGAAACAACTTTGTCCTACTGGCATTTTGAAGTGCAGGATACAGCTTCAATATATATTGCTGAGGACAAAGATACCTTGAATTGTACATAGCATCCCCAGGAAAAAAAGGCCAAGTGCCTTCCTTTCTCTACTACTGTCCGTTTTTTGTTGTGTACATTCTTTTGTCTATGCTAAAGACAGCATAGAAACTGACTAGTCTCACAGAATGTAAGAAGACAATTGGCTGTGTCTCAATAAAAAGAGGCAAGTACATCTTACTGATGAAAACATTCTTGAAAAATCCATTTAGCCCCATTTTAGCATCTGCTCTCAAGATGTCTTTAAAGTGAGTTTTCCAAGATACAATCCTTATAAGCACTCAACAGTAATTTATTTTATAGAAAACAAGAGTCGTGTCCACTTAGTTGAAGGTGGTGGTCATCTGGGCAGTGAGTTTATACCCAAATGGCTTTTGTATGTGGGGGCTGTGGTGCTCTGCACTCTAAACATAATGCAGGGATTTTGTGGGAGATTTGACTTCCCAGGAACATATTAAAGGGTGGCTTGGGCAGAGAAAACTGACTCAGAACTACCTTGTGAAGGAAAGTGGAGGAATCAGGCCAAGTCTCCCAAAAAGGGCAGAGAAAATGGCAACTATTTACTCCTGGCCCAAATTCCCGGGTAGATTATGGGCTTCGGTCACTATTTCTAGAAAGAGGTAAAACATGAGTGGACTTTTCTTTAGATTGTCCACCGTCTAAAGCTTAACTTTACTGACAGTGAAGATAAGCTGTAAAAGCTTTCATTCATCCTTGAAGTACTTACTGAGTAAGGAACTATGGAAAACAAAGGCCAACCCAGACAAATTCTGCGCTCGTCAAGATTATAGCATGACAAAGTAAAAAGCCTTATGTTAGAAAATGAGCTCATACTGCAGATGGAGAAATAACCTCACATTGGAACAGTGAGAAAATTTATTTCAAGCTGGAAATGACCTGTTAGCTGGGTTTTGTGGGACAGGTAGACACACAGAAGTAAAGAAGCAAAACCAAGAAAGAAAAAAGATCATAGACCAAGATTATAGACAAAGTCTCAGAAATGGAAAACCTCCAGGCAGGTATGAGGAAAAGCTGCTAGTTTGGGTAAACAGAGGGGAAAGCTGGATGTAGTCCATGAGCATTTCCCTAAAAATGGGAAATAAAGCGCATTTCATCTCCAGCCTGTCTGTGGTTAACCTTTCTAAACACATTGAAACTACTGCGTAATATAATAGCTTATGGCAAAAATCCATTTGAATTTGGAGAACTGCAAGGTGTCTCACTCATATTCCAAATCCTTTCTGCAAATTTCCCAATAAGGAGTCCTCAGTTATTGTCTTCCGCTGTAGGGATTCTCAACCTCAGCACTATGGACATTATGAACTGGATAGTTCTTTGTTGGAAGGTGCTGTCCTGTGCACTGTAGGATGTCTAGCGGCATCCCTGGACTCTAATAAAAATCAGTAGCACCCCACCCAACTCCAGGTATGGCAATCAACAATGTCTCTAGACACTGCTAAATGTCCCCGGGGAAGAAAACCGCCCCCGGTAGAGAACCTATGGTCTACACTGAGTCTCGTGTTTCAGATGATTGTTCTCCTTGCATAGCTGAAAACAGCTAAGCAGGAGCTTCAACAACAACAACAAAAAAGCCTTTCTGTATTCCAAATGCATGGACTTTCTGCTAGAGAATAATTTAGCTCTTTTTATTTCTAATTACCATTTGATGCCACTGTGTTACTTAGCATACAGGGAAAATGGAAACAGAGTCCATTCATGTATAAATGTGTGCTGCCACTTATCAGGGAATATGAGAATCATCACATATTCCTGATTATTCTTCAGAATTCCTTAAATTACTTATAAAGACTTTGCCTTAGAATATTTTTAAATAAAAATAGCAAGTTAACTGTTATTTCTATGCAATACACAAATCAAATTTCAACCCTATCAAAGATTACTAAGTTAAGATCATTGGACAATAATCTCTGTCTTAGCATGAAATAGCACAAGGAAGAGAAGAAGGGAGAACTGAAATAGATGGTCTTTAAAGATCTTTGAACTCTGAATTTTCAGTTCAGTTCTTTTGCTAGAACACTAGAAAAATCAAGAATAAAACAATATTTATTGTATGGGCCTAATATTTTCTTTAAAAATATTTTTATAAGAAAAAATGATTGTTTTGAAATAGACCCCCCTCGACTTTTTTTCCAAAAATAAATAATATATGTAGTACTACCTGGAATATGTTTAAAGTGTGGAATATATGTTTTATTATGAACAACACTGTGAAATCTTTAGATGAGGACCTAGTACTGCCAAGTAGAACAACATTTTTTAAAGTTGCACTAATGGTCAAAAATTCTTATTACTGCT